TTTTCCTTGTGCATGCTCCTAATTTCCCACTGCGGGAGGCTTTGAGTGATTTTAACAATGTTTCTGCGTCAGCAGAAGTCCTGGGATTGTCCGACATGATTTATTTATTTGTTTTTAAGCCGTGCGTAAAAGACGTTGCGCTCCTTTAATGAGTCTCACAGAGCACGCCACTGGCTTCCTTTGTTGCACAAACAAATTAAATCACATTCTTTTCACAGACGATCCACAGGTATTTACATTCCTCCTCCAATGCGTGCATCGCTGTTATGATTTCCTCTTAGACTTTAACACATCCGACATTCCATTCAATGCGTATACGGATTTATTCCATTTATTTACTCACGACCGGCCCAGTCTGTCAGCTCCGGTGTGTCCACATGTGTGTGTCTCTTCCTTACGGAGTTTTTTCGACTTGATGTAATGGCATCCAAGGTTTCCTTTGATGCCACTATAGAGCGGGGTTGACGACACGCAATCCAGAGCAATAAGCAGCCGAAGGTTTTCAGTCAAAAAATGTAATTTATTAACAAAAAAGGTATTGACTTAAATAGTCTCAAAATAACAAATCTAACTAATAATTTCGGCGATATACTTTCCTATATAAACTATACTTTGCAGTCCAATTTGCAACACTAATTTCATTTAAAAGTCGAAAAAACTGTTCCGCTCCCCGTCTCATCAGGTCTCAGAGCACCGCGGCTGTCCTCAATTACCTCACTTAAATAAACACCGGAAGGTACAAGGAAACAGATCATATTTACGATTTGAAATAAACAATCATTTCATCAAAAGATATTCACCATGGCAATATAAATCATTTTACATCATTAATTCATTTATCAAATTATGAATCTAAATAATAACTTTGACTTCATTGTGGCTCTAACACCTCCCTATCATGTCCTGAGAGCCCTCCATCCCCCAATTGCTAGTGCCTTCACCATTTAAAATGTTAATAGTCAAATCAAAGGTGTTCCCCGTGTTCCTCCTGTTGTGTGCCTGCAGAGACAGACTCAGAGGTGGAGATCGCCCACAGTGATGACTCTGACGTGGGGGGCTCTCTGTTATGGGCTGCTCCCCTTCTGGTATTTGGACAATGTTGTGTCGTTGTTGCGATTAAACTGATCTTGTATCTTGCATATTTCACCTTAGGAAAGTGGGCACGCGATGACAGCTTCCTTGACACCATCACGGCGATGGACCGCCATGCCATGGTCAGCAAGGAGAATGAGGACCTGCGTGCCAAGGAGATGCACGACGAACGGCTGCTGCATTCACACAAGGCCCAGGAATCGAGGTGGAGCAACAAAATACCTTTCAGGCTGGGCTTCTGGCAGTGCTAAGCGAGCTGATTAAATCCAACAGGCCTTCAATACAAAAATTAAGAAAAACTTGTCGTCGTTGATAAACTGTACAATGACTTGTTGGGAGGCGTGTGGTGCAGTCGTCTGGTGCGTTGGTGTTCGGATCAGGGGAGCACAGGTTCAAACCCCACTGCAGTCAGGATGTCGTTGTGTCCCTGGGCAAGACACTTCACCCCAAATTGCCTACACCTGGGAGAGTTCATTTTGTATTATTGTGATTATATATATATATATATGCCACTGTTATTAATACTGACACCTAACTTTGCACTAAGGTGTGTCTGCTGCTGAGCCTATCTATTGTTATTATATATATATATATATATATTGCCACTGTTATTATATTGTTTTGATACTACTGACACTTATTGATCTGCTGCTGATAAATAAAAGAGAACCTACATTGCGATTAAACAGAAAATGTATCTTGCTTATTTCTCCTGACACTTTATCTTTATGGTGACCTGTGTAGCATCCTATACATCACATGTAAGTGATTATTCTGATACCATCATGACACCATGAAACTGGCGAAGCTTTATTTATTGTGTCCCACCCCATATATGTGAAAAAGATCATTCAATTGTATTTCAAAATGGCGTCCATCAACACAAACACTATTTATAGAAAGATAAATGGTTAAGTTTGTAATTAACAGTGTTGTGAGTTCAATATTTTAATTAATTATAGTAAGGAAACATAGGATATATAATAAAGGTGTTAACTGCTGAGCCTATTTACTGTGCAATACTACAGACATGTTAGTGGTATTATTTCTTATCTAACTCTTTCCTATGGTCAGACAAATCAGAAGTCATTTAAACAATTTGAGATTTTGTTCTTTTTGTTTCTCAATTGATTTTCCAGAATATGCACCACCTAGGCAGACTTTATATCACAAATAAATGAATGACATGTACTACAGTAATTGATTATATTGATATTGCCTACTCAGATATAAATGTGTATAAAATGAAATCAATTCAAAGTTTCTTGCTGCTTTTAATGCAATTCATGGCTGCAGGGCAAACGTCCAAAATCCTTATTCTACAATCATTTAATCAAGACACTTGTGTATATTTTACTTTAATTTGTAATAAACAAAAAAATATGAATGGTTGTCATCAAGCTGGGTCGCCGGTAAGGCAGTCCATTCCTCCCTGTACTCATCACCACGACGCTCACACAGGTTATGCAATACGCAACATGCTGCCACCTGGATTTTGATATTGTCCATGAAACATGTCCATAGCGTGTGCTTGTCGCCGTCCAGTCCTTTTGTTAAGGCTTCTTAACCGCGATCTGTATTTGTGGCTGAGTTATTGGCTTAAATAACTCAGCACCAAAACCACAACTTCAGTCAACTCCATAGCGTGTCTGACTGAGGTCGGAAGGTAAACAGAAGCATACAGCGGAAGCGGAAGTTTTTTTTCTTCTTCTCTCGGTTTTTTGGCGGATTGCAACTTTAAGGTGCATACCGCCACCTACTGTACTCGCCGTGAAGTTGTTTGCGGCCTGCCAGTAAAACCAAAGCAGAAGAAGAAGAAGTGACGTCAGCGGCTCATTTGCCTAATCCACCCCCAGGAACTCATTTTGGTGTGAACGCGATCTGCTTTAGTTCGTCAGAACTAAAAGAGCTCTCATGAACTAAAGTTCTCTTGAACTACTGTGGGAAAAGTACTTGGTGTGAACGCGCCTATAATCTGTATCAAATGCACACATTGATTCCACCAAAGGACACAATAAAAATAGAAAGTACTACATATAAACTAGAATTAATTGACATCTTAAATTATTAATATATACACAAAAAAAGGTTTACAAATATCCAACCTTCAAATTGCTTTTTTAAATCCACAATGCTCTGCACACTTACTAAAGAAACTTTGTGTGGAAATCTCAGTTCATTTGTAGGGCTGCGCGAGTATGGCCAAAAGTATGTGAGTAAATCTCACTGTAAACTATTAATCATCACCAAATTCGGTGATATTATGACCGATCATAACTCAGCTTTATGCACACACATACATTTTGCATGGTTTAAGAAACGGCTCCGTGTTACAGGACGGGTCGGGGGGTTTGGCTGAACCGCTGTAGACTCTGCACGGAGGAGCCGCGGCGGAGCCCGGGCGGTGCTGCAGCTCCTGATCGGAGCAGTCTGAGACACACGTTCACTAAGCCGAAAAACTATATCCGGTCACAGAGATCTGCTATTTTAAAGTAAAGTCAACACTTATCGAACCTTAAATATAGTCTATATTAAGAACGAAAAGTTTTAATGTATATATCATTTTTTGTACAAATGTGCGAGGGTGATGACGTCAGAGCATCGTCCTATGTGCCGGGGCTGAGCCCCGGCCCAATTTAACCCCTGACTGTAGCTATGTACGTATGACTAATAAAAGCCTTGAACCTTGAACATATACATTTAAGGTGCAGACATTAAGAAGCCATGTCGTTTTTTTCCAAGAGTAGACGTGATATTACTTCGCCGTTGTTAACATGGGAACGTTCTCTTTATACGTCTACGGCGCAGTCACGCTGAGCTACGTTAATGCGGAGGTAGGCATGGTTGAATCTAAACAGGGTTGGAAAAACGACAGATGGAGTTGCACAGTTCTATTGATTAATAAAGAACAGTGTAGCGCACACTGTGTGACCACACAAAGACACAGCAGTTCAGCCAGCAGCCAGACCCAGCTGCTAGCAGAAGCAGACAGTGGTGCAGGAATGAGTCTTAAAATACGGAAATTAGTTAGCCTTTATGCAGTTCAATTCCCTTGTCTCAAAGTCTGAAATAAGGTCTTTGGTTAACACAAGCTGAAGAGATTTGAATGTTGTATTCTACAACATCAAATACGTCAGTTAATAGCCCACTGGTGGATTTTGCTAACAAGTGTCTAAATAAGACGACTAAACGTCATCACTCCCAGCATTTGCCACCGCTAGCTTATCGGTGTTGACGTGAAGTCATGAGACGACTAAACGTCATCACTCCCAGCATTTGCCGCCTTTAGCTTAGCGGTGGTGACGTGAAGTCATGTGGCCGTGCTGTAGTTCCTTTATATCCCAACATTAGCTGCCTTTAGCTTAGCGTGGTGACGTAAAGTCATGTGACCGTGCTGTAGTTCCTTTATATCCCAACATTAGCTGCCTTTAGCTTAGCGGTGGTGACGTAAAGTCATGTGACCGTGCTGTAGTTCCTTTATATCCCAACATTAGCTGCCTTTAGCTTAGCGTGGTGACGTAAAGTCATGTGACCGTGCTGTAGTTCCTTTATATCCCAACATTAGCTGCCTTTAGCTTAGCGTGGTGACGTAAAGTCATGTGACCGTGCTGTAGTTCCTTTATATCCCAACATTAGCTGCCTTTAGCTTAGCGTGGTGACGTAAAGTCATGTGACCGTGCTGTAGTTCCTTTATATCCCAACATTAGCTGCCTTTAGCTTAGCAGTGGAGAAGCAGCCATAGTCCCACCTACTTAACTCTGATTGCTCGATCGTTTCTCCAGTGGCTGTGAGGTTTTGTGATAAAGCTGCCAAATCCTCAAGGTTTCTCCCCGCTCATATTTGGAAGCTTTTCTGTGAAATGTGTTGACCTCTAATTAAAATCTGAATTCTGGTGTGTTTTCTGACAGTCGGAGTCTCTGGAGGATCCTTTCACCTCGGATATCCACTTCCCTCTCTCTCTGCCTCTGACCTCAGACCCAGCAGTGGAAGAGGAAGAGGAGGGGGAGCCCGGGAGGTGCCTGCCTGAGATCTGGTGTGACAAGGTGGCAGTTTCCTGTGACCACAACTACACAGCAGAGGACTCCGCTCGGCAGAAAAAGCGCATTGAGCAGCTGGAGGAGCAGCTGGGGAGTCTGAGGAAGAAGCTGAAGACGACTCAGCAGAAATGCCGACGACAGGAGAGACAGTTGAAGATGCTGAAGGCAGCGTGCGAGACGCCTAGGACCGGCCGCCAGCCGCCTGCAACTTTCGGAGAGGGATACGTGATTCTACCCAAACACATCTACCACACACTCAAAGGCATCAAGTAACCATGAACTAATGAAAAGGAGATGTGGTCAAAATGAAAGGCAGATAAAACTGTCAGCAGCAGGAGACAGTCGCAGATCTTCCTAGCCAGCAGCGCAGCCCTGAGTCCAGACAGGAAGGGCTCCGTAAGAATGCAGGAAGCAGGAAACTCGGAATTGGTCGGTACAACAACTACTTACATATTCTTCGTGTTAGGGCTGCACTGAAATTGCTTTAACCCTTGTGTTGGCTTACTTTTTAATTGTTGTCCTCCCGGTTTGACTATTTACATAGCATAGAGCGTATAAATAATCACCCAAATCTATGTTACACCTTTTAAGGCAACTTCATATCTACTTATTGCGTTTTACTCTTCTTTTTTAAATGTATGGTCAATACACCTAATTTACACACAATTAAACCTAAAACCGAATTTGAATAAACTCGGATTCTTCAAGAAATAGTCCACCATGTTACTCCCCCTGAAAAAAACAAGAATTGTGACTTTAATTTCTATCCTATTTATGTTTTTTGAGGAATTCCTCCTAAAAAGGAGTGTAACAAAAGGTTAATTTGTAATATTTTTCTATGATTTACTTCTTTCTGTGTTTTTTTTTTTCCTCACATAAAAACAATACAGAAACATTGTGTGTCTGTCTATGTTCCTGTGAAAGTTGTTTATTAAAAATATTTTAGATAACAAGGGTATCATGACTTAAAATTGGAAAGAGGAAGCTAGCCACGAGACGCTCTGGAAGAATAATGGATGTGTTTGAAGTCCAAACTCAGCATCATATCTGGAGTTTAAAAGTCAACAGAAGGATGACCTTATGGTCGATCTTCATCCAAAGATCAGGAACAAATTAACTTTAAGCATGCTGGGTGGGGGTTAAACTTTCTCCTCTCTTCTTCTTTGTTTTTTCATTGTTAATTCTTCTATATTTTTTACCGGTCCAAATATCACATTAATTCCGTTAGACCAGTGGTTCCCAACCTTTTTGTCTGGTGTCCCCCTTTAGCTGGTCTCAGTTCTATAAGAACCCCCTCACTCATCTGTGATGATTCGCCTACATTTTGTCTTGTATTAAACCCTTTGTAATTGTATTTAACCCAATTTTTGACCGACACTCCGGGCGTGTTTGGTGCTCTGTTGCTGCTGCTGCAGGTGGGATGGCTTCATATAATTATATGCCAGGACTTCGCCGCTAAAAGAACACTGTGGCTTTGTTGGATCATCAGATGAACATGTGACTCCATGAGAGATGTATTCCTCACTGAACTGCCGGTGTTTGGAGGGCCAAGACAATTTTATTTCACTAGGCTCTCCTAACCCCGGTTCTGGATGGAGCATGGAGGAGGCTCTCTCTATAACCGAGGATACACTGATGTATCCTCCGGAGATGTATGACGCACGGCTGGACTGATCTCAACCAATGACAGCTCTGCAAACTGTTCCCGTTGTGATAAGTTATTTAAGATGATCAAATGTGCCTCAGACTTTCTGCCCTTTACCGTTTGTTTACTCACTAATCACATCTCCCCTGGATGTTAGGCTACTTTGTTTATTTAATTTAATGGTGACGCGATGTTTACAGTGAGAACAGCGGCTGAGGTTTGTGCAGAAAGCAGAGCAGTGTGTATAATATATATCGCTCAATAATATATAACGGGCTTAAATAATACTCTTTATTTGTAGGCTTTAGTAGATATCTACAAACAAAGAGCAGATATTTCAATCTGTTGTACAGTGTGTAGCTGTGTGTATATCCAGTCTCTGATTGCTTTACGTTATCATGAAAGTGCGTATATGTATATATATATATATATGTATATATATGTATATATATATATGTGTGTATATATATGTATATATATGTGTGTATATATATGTATATATATATATATATATATATGTGTGTGTATATATATGTATATATATATATATATACATATATATATATACTGTATATATATATATATATACATATATAGGGACTACATACATATATATATATATACATATATATATACATATATATGTATGTATGTAGTCCCTATATATGTATATATATGTATATGTGTGTATATATATATATATATGTTATATCTATCTATATTGTGTTATATATATGTGTCTGTGTGTCTATATCTCTATATATCTCTGTCTATCTCTCTCTATGTGTGTCTCCTCTTCTCTGTCTCTCCTCATCTGTGTCTCTCTCTCTCTCTGTCTCTGTGTGTCTCCTCTCTCTCTCTCTCTGTCTCTCTCTCTGTGTCTCTGTCTCTGTGTGTCTCTCTCTCTCTCTGTCTCTGTGTGTCTCGCTCTCTCTCTCTCTGTCTCTCTCTCTCTGTGTCATCTCTCTCTCTCTTCTCTGTGTGTCTCTCTCTCTGTGGTCTCTCTCTCTCTCTGTCTCTGTGTGTCTCTCTCTCTGTCTCTCTATCTCTGTGTGTACTCTCTCTCTCTGTCTCTTCTCTCTTATATATTATGTCTCATATCTGTCTCTGTCTCTCTGTGTATCTATACTCTCTTATGTGCTGTGTGGGGTTTTGTTCACCTTTTAAAAGATGTTTGAATGGTGATATACCCAGTGATAGATGTTAAGGACTAACGTTTATAATAAATACATTTGTATTGATTTTAAGATCTTTTCATACAATCATACGTATTGGGATCATTTGTATTAATGTGGACCGGAGGGAGAGGGTGACGAGCATAAGTTTCACTTTCCTTTTTTATTTCAATTCCAACTTTGGTCATGAAGAATATGTTTCTCTGTTGTCCCCGTTCATAAAGCATAAAGCAACAGCATCAGAGCACGGTGCAGAGTCTCTAGATGAGTTTACAGTAGTCCCTCGTTCTTATTAAACATCCATGTTGTAGTCCGCTGTATAGAAAACTGTAGTTTCCATAGTTTCCCCACAGCAGCAGACGCACATTTATGACCTCCGCTGGCGCATCATAAACACGTCGGATAGTGAAAGTGCAGTCGGATTCTCTAAAGTACCGCAGTCTCTTCTCCTAAATTCTTTTTGAATTCTCCTATCCACTATCCCTTAACCCCGTGACGTTTCACTCAGAGGTCAAGGAATAGACGATGGGGATAGACGATAGGAGCTGATGTTTGGACTATTCAACCGCAACCGATTTCTCATTTCTCTAACCGCCTGCTGCTTCCCCTCTGACTGACCTCCTCCACAGACACACTCCACCGCTCTGCTACTGCCAACCTCCTGCTCCTGCCCACCCGGAACAACCTCAAGTCCTGGGGCGGCAGAGCCTTCTCCGTTGCTGCACCCACCCTCTGGAACTCATTACCCCAATCCATCAGAGATTCTTCCTCCCTCACAGCATTCAAAACATCACTCAAAACCCACCTGTTCAACACTGCATTCAACCACTGACCACCCCCCCCCCTATTTTCTGTTTTGTTTATCTCTTTTTGTATTTTCTTTATTTTTTTATTCTCTGTCAAAGCGTCTTTGAGTTTCCTGAAAAGCGCTATACAAGTCTCATGTATTATTATTATTATTATTATTATAACAAAACAAAAAGGCAGTCAGACAAACAGTCAGACAGACAAAACAACAGATAGATTTAGGGGCCAAAGGCCTTAGTAAACAGATAGGCCTTAGTAAACAGATGGGACTTGAGGGCCCTTTTGAAGGCGTCGAGTGTGGGGATGTTGCGGATCTCCGCAGGGAGAGTGTTCCAGAGGGTGGGGGCTGCCACACTGAAGGCTCTGTCCCCGAAGGTTCGCAGTTTGGTGCGGGGGCCAGAGTCTGAAGACCGCAGGTTCCGGGGTGGGGCATGTGGGTGAAGGATGTCCGATAGGTACTGGGGGGCAAGGGCATGGAGGGACTTGTAGGTAAGGAGGAGGATTTTGTATGATATGCGGGACTTGACCGGCAACCAGTGTAGGTGGATGAGGGTGGGAGTGATGTGCTGCCACGGCTTTGTGTGTGTGAGTACCCTAGCAGCACAGTTTTGGACATACTGGAGCCTGTCCAGGGTTTTGTTGGGAACCCCAAACAGGACACCATTGCAGTAGTCCAAGCGGGTGGTGACAAATGCATGCACGAGGGTTTCGGCAACCGACTCAGAGAGTGACGGTCGGAGTCTGGCAATGTTCCTTAGGTGGAAAAAGGCCGATTTGGTCACAGACTTGACGTGGGAGTGGAAGGAAAGGGTGGAGTCGACGATGACACCCAGGTTGCGGGCTTCAGGAGATGGGGAGATGGAGCAGCCGTCAACCTCGAGGATGAAGTCATCAACCTTCTGGAGCAGCGCCTTGGATGGTCCATATCCCACCTGTAGGCAGACCCCCCCCACCAGAGATGAGTCCGACGAGGGTGGCGTCGTCTGCGAACTTCAGGAGCTTGACAGACTGGTGACTGGAGGTGCAGCTGTTGGTGTACAGGGAGAAGAGCAGGGGGGAAAGAATGCAGCCTTGAGGGGAACCAGTGCTGATGGTCCGGGGGTCAGAGACGTGTTTCCCCAGCCTCACGTGCTGCTTCCTGTCAGACAGGAAGTCTGTGATCCACCTGCAGGTGGAGTCGGGCACGTGCAGCTGAGAGAGCTTGTCCTGCAACAGAGCCGGTACGATCGTATTAAAGGCAGAGCTGAAGTCCACAAACAGGATCCTGGCGTAGGTTCTTGCTGTGTCCAGGTGCTGGAGGAGGAAGTGAAGGGCCATGTGGGTCCAGGTGCTGGAGGAGGAAGTGAAGGGCCATGTTGACAGCATCATCTACAGACCTGTTGGCTCTGTAGGCGAACTGCAGGGGGTCCAGTAGGGGGTCTGTGATGGATTTGATGTGGGAAAGGACAAGGCGCTCAAAGGACTTCATAACCACAGAGGTCAGGGCGACGGGTCTGTAGTCATTTAATCCTGTGGTCCTTGTTTTCTTCGGGACCAGGATGATGGTGGAAAATGTGTTTGTTTTGACAGCTTCCTTTGGGGATTGCATACATTTTTTAATGTGTATTTTTTGGTGTATTTACTGTCAATTGTTCAACATTGTTTATTTTTTGGTGAAAATCGTCTTGTCTTTTACTCAGTCCTTTCACAGTTGGTTCAATCTGCACTAACCAAGAAACCAGGTGGTGATCGTATTATCAAAGAATACAACCGGACGAAAGGTCTGACTGACTCCACACGGCGACAGATGGTTAAACATCCTCGCTGCTGAGATGACTGAAACTCATGGGTAATTATTTTATTTTGCGAAATTGAAGATCTCATCCATTGTGCGGAAGCTACCTCAAATGAAGAGGACATGAATGATGACACGCTTGCCTCTGGTAGTTGAATTACTCAGGCCGTGTCTCAATTCAGGGGCTGCATCCTTCGAAGGCTGCATTGGTAGACCGCTTGCGTCACTTCTGCCGAAAGAAGGCTGTCCCAATTCAACTCTCCAATGTCCACCGAACTGTCCATTGCGTGGGTTTATAGGGCGGACGCAATCGACGGCTGCCATGTCACTAAGATGTTTTCAGAAACAGAGAATAACAAAAGATGAATAAAGAAACATTTGCTAAATGATTTTCACCATAACAAATGTCTCTGCTCTACAATTGTTTTACATACCTTTCATAGATATTGATGGTCCACGGGAACCTCCCCCAGGGCAGACACCTCTGCAGACAG